CTCTAATTAAAATGTACTACTAACATTTTTAGTTGAGGGAGACTCCAAGTTTTTAAAATCCGACTTGTCCTCTTTATTCGGCAAGGGCTATATGATTTAGGGATTAGGAGATACTTGGCTTAAGCCTGTGGTGATCAATTCTTGGCAAATATTTTTTTAGGGAAGCAATAAGAAAATTACTCATGGAATGTCAAAAAATACTGCGATATCTGTTTATAGTTAGTAGGTATAGTTTTTTAAACAAAATAAAGTTGTAGTAATTAATTGATAAAATTTTAGAGGATAATGTATATTAGTTTTTATTTTAAAAAAATAAAATATCAATTTAAAAATATCACTTTTTAGTTTTTAATAAATATTTTTAAAAACTAATCATTAAATTGAGTATTTTATTATTAATAGATCATGAATATCAATTTTTAAATTGATTGAATGTGTATAATTAATTTATTAATTATAGAAAATTATAATAATTAAATATATGTTAAAAGGAGAATTTTATTGTTCAAATGATTATAGATATTAAATTAACTTAAAAATTAACATACATAATCTATATTAACTGAACATTAAATTTACTAGTTAGTTTTTGAAAATATTTATTGAAATATGATGTTCTTGAAGTTGTACTATAGTTTCCCCAAAATTTTATATTTATTTTTAATTAATTATTATTTAAATAAGTTTTCTTGTATAATATAGGTTGTAATTATATTTTAAAAATAAGAGTAAAATAGGAATTAACATATTAAATAATATTTAAACTTTAAACATTTTAGATTAAAAATTAGGTCTAGTAAAGTTAAATAGTGAGAGTGTTTATATATAGATAGTGTTTGTAATGAAGTTACTATTATTGTTGTTGTTATTGTTTATTTTTAATAAATTTAATTTAATTTTTTGACTTTTTAGATATAATTTTCAAATGAAAATTTAACCGTTTATATGAACAATAATTGAATTTTTTTTTATATATATGAAGTTCTTTTTAAATATTTTTATTTTTATTTTTCTCAAGAATAAATATCTTATTAATTATAAAGAAAAGTAAAAGAGAGAATCTTATTAAAGAACTAATTTAAACCTCAATGTAGAGATCGAACCTAAAATTGAGATCAATCAATGGGTTTGAGCTTCGATTGGTTGGTTGGGGTTCTATCTCTAAACCCAATATTACTACTGAGGGAAGTAAACTTTGCCATCTGCTCTACCACGCCAAAATATAAAGGTGGTTAATGTATACCCGTTTACCCAACTATCACATGTGCCAAAATATAAAATTTTCTCCCTTTTTTAATGTTGTTTTCTCTTCTTTTAATGTTGAAAATATAAAAAATTTTGTATTTGTATTTTATATCATATTTAATATTTCAAATATCTAAATGTAAAA